CCTCCATGCTTTACTGGAGGAATGCTGTTATTTGGATGGTGAGCTGTATTGGCTTTCCGCCAGACATATCATTTGGTTTTGAGGCCAAATAATTCCATTTTAGTCTCATCTGCCTCAGAATCACCAAGATGTGTTTTGGCAAAGCCCAGTCATGACTGCATGTGGCTTTTCTTGAGGACTGGCTTTTTTCATGCAACCCTCCCATACAAGCCACATTTGTGGAGAATTTGTGATATTGTTGCCACATGCACACAATGACCACTCTTTGTCATAAATTCCTACAACTGCTTCAGAGTTGCTGTAGGCCTCTTGGTAGCCTCTCTGATCAGTTTCCTCCTGACTTTTTCATCCAGTTTAGAGCGACGTCCTGATCCAGGGAGGGTCTGTGTCGTACCAAATAACTGGAGATCTTTTGACAGTGCCTTGCCACCCATAGTTGATTGTTTGCTTCAGTTGCACAATCAAGGACTGAAATGCTCCAGGAAAGCTCTTTTCATGCTGAGCTAATCAAAATGACCACAGCTGATCACAGTTGAACGTCAAATGGCTTTGTGTGCTGTTGAGAAGGTGATTAGCTACACCTTACTGAGTTTACAAGTCATTTTTAGGAGGAGGTGATCCTTTTTCCAACTCAGTGATTCTGTTTTTTCCTTTATTTTTTGGTATTGGTATTGGTTTTATACCTTTCACTTGGATGTTCTAAGTTGCACTGAGTAAATACAGCTGGATAAAACAACGTCTTCATTTCAGGCTGCAAAGCAACAACATTTGATTATTTTAAAGGGGGGTACATTTTCTTTGCCCATTGTATATACACTAATCCATCCTCTTGAACCCTGAGGGAGGGAAAGAAAAAAAAAAAAAACTTTGCTCAAAATACACTCAAAGTTACCTAGAACTGGCTTCATGAAACAGGCCAAAGGACTATCACTGAAATTCTACTAACCTGTTGTAGTCCAGCACCACAGCTGGAATGGGAACCTCCTTAAGGGTCCGAAGTGCATCGTCTTTCACCTTTCTCTGCACAGTATCACCTTCATAAGCTTTATGGAAGGTGGAGCACATCTGCACTTCCTGTGAGTCTTTCCACTCAATAAACAGAAGATTGTCATCCCTGATCCAGCGCATGGTGCCGCGTGGAGCGTTCTTCGACAATCTATTCACTGAGATTTTTGGGAAACCCTTCCTGGTCGACAAAACAGGGCCACAAGCCCAGAACTTTTTACACAAGAGGTCCCTGAAGAGTGTGGGGCTGGTGTAAAATTTGTCCACAAACAGTTTGTACCCAGAACCCAACATATTTTCATCCATCAATGCCATAACAGACTCATAGCTCAGGCCCACATTCTGTGACGCACATGACTTCCCCTCGTAAATTAAGAAGTCCCACGTATAGCCACAGATGCAGTCTGTCAGTGCAAAGAGTTTGTATCCTCTATCTGTAGATTTGTCTTCCATGGATTGTTTCAGTCCAGTTCTAGGCTGTGCTGCCACTATTCTTTCATCAATGGTGATGTTCTGAAAGGGATGAAAATGGGTCTTGCAGGCCTCTCGAATGAGTTGATATAGAGGTAGAATTTTACCGAACCGTTCATAGGCTGCTGTTCCCTTCTTCAAGTAATTTTTCTCATCTTCGATGGTATTGCTGAAATGAAGAGTATTGGCGATTGTCACAAATTTTTGATAAGACATGACATGCGCAGGCAAGGATGGACTGAAGTACTGGGACTCCCTCCAATATTCTGTCAGTAAAGAGCACTTCAAAAGACCTGTGTATATTACCAGTCCTATGTACGACTTCAAGTCTTTCAGAGAAATGTAGAGCCAAGGATTACCCACATCCTTGCACTTGCTCCCATAGACATTTGTGTGCCCTACAATAGACTGCATCATTGTTTTTGGAAAGAACAGCTGAAAAAACTGGAGAGGACTGCTACAATTGCTTGGTAAAAACTTTGGTCCAGGTTCTTGGACAGGTGTGAAGTCTAGCTGAAGCGGTTCAACATCTGTTTCATCTAAGCTGCGCCACCTTTCTGTTGATAAGCCATCATTTTCACTCTCCCTGCCATCTCCTCCAGCAGCAGAACATGTAGAAGACAGACGGGATCTCTTTCTCTGCTGTAGGTTGCAGTCCTCATCTGGTGAGTAAATATCAGGTGAAGGCCTATTCCATGGGACAAGAAGAAGAAAAAAACAATTAGCAAGGTTCTTCACAACTCTGTTGATTAAATGCCTGTGTTCACACCAACACAAATGTTCAGCCTGTTTTTGTATGCGATTTGTTGGTTCAGACAAATGCATAAAAATGGCAGTAGGTTCCACTTCTAGAAGAGCAGAAATACAGCAGTTATTCCTCTACACAATGCAGCACTGCACAACTTTGTTACTAACCTGGGCTGCATTTCCCAAAAGCTTCGTAAGCCTAAGTAGTTCGTAAAAACGATCGTACGACTGATCTTAATATTACGGTCTGTTTCCCAAAAGCATCATAACTTAAGTAGCACTTGAAAATCATTGTAGATCTATGAGTGCTCTGGGGTAATCGTAAAGCCCTAAGTGCATCGTAAGAAGACAGATTTATGCGGTCACCTGCAGGACAATCGGCAGATTGCACCTTTAACTTTATTCAAGTGCAATGTGATTATAATATAAAGTTTTGATTGTACTTTATTGTACACTTTATTACTCGTTTTTATGAATTTATAAATGAAATAATTAAAAAGGGCAGAAAAAATAGAAATACACATCTAAATTAAATGACTGAACAAAAAAATGAATAAAAGAAGTAATGTAGGAAATTGTATTATTATTATGTAAAGTACAATATTATACGTATAAATATAATATAATGTTATTGAAATGTTAACCTAATGCTGTGTTCCAGACAACTCCGATATAATAACTATTATATTATATTTATACGTATAAATATAATATAATAGTTATTATATCGGAGTTGTCTGGAACACAGCATTAGGTTAACATTTCAATAAACGAGCGTGTAGTACAATTACGAGCCATTCTATAAGGTGACATTTCAGCACTTGACAAATGGATAGCGACTCCTAAGTAGCACTTAAAGCACGGTTACGTGTGCATTTTTGGGAAACGCACGTGAAACAATAACACACGATCGTAAAATGACTCGTAGAAAACACTCTTAAGCTCTAAGATCAGTCATTATCGAGAAACGCAGCCCTGCTTGTCACAGAGAACTACTCAAACATTATTTACATGTTTTTAAACAGCCATTCAGAATTTTGTTTTTGCTATGGTGTTCATAAGACGGCCAATACAAGAGTACAGAGACAAGAGAGTCAGTTTTGAAAGAGATAAGAACACCAGTACACAAGCGGGAAAAATCTGTCACATTGACGCCATGCAAATGTTTGTGTCAGGATGCACAGACACATTAACTGCTGTTCATTCAAATATTCATCTTCATACTCATATTGTTGTACACAGGACTTTAAGACTTGTTTATGTTTAACAATTGCACAAGTACAAAGTCTCTCATGCTCTTCCATAAAAAAAAAAAAAAGAGTTTATATGTTGAGTTGTTAAAAGGTGATTTGTAGACACAGTAACACTTGGGGAAGTCGTGGCCTAATGGTTAGATAGTCAGACTCGTAACCCAAAGGTTGCAGGTTCGAGTCTCGTACCGGCAGGGATTGTAGGTGGGGGGAGTGAATGTACAGCGCTCTCTCCCACCCTCAATACCACGACTGAGGTGCCCTTGAGCAAGGCACCAAACCCCCAACTGCTCCCCGGGCGCCGCCCGTTCACAGTGTGTGTGTGTGTGTTCACTGCTGTGTGTGTGCACTTTGGATGGGATAAATGCAGAGCACTAATTCCGAGTGTGGGTCACCATACTTGGCCACATGTCACGTCACTTTCATTGTCTATCTGTGGAGTGAAAAGTATTTTATTTTTATACTTAATTGTGTCAGAAGGCCCTAAGTAGCATGTTGTTGCTGGTGTTTTATTATACATATATAAAACCATAGTCCATTGCTATTATGACTATGGATTTTAAGATGATAAAAATAGTATTATTTGCTATGGATCTTCAATGATTTCATCAAATCCCCATTCTAACGTGCTGTTATGACAAAGTGCTGTTTGAAGGGGAAGTCCATACAATTACATTTCTTTGCATCAAACATAATATTTAACCCACGTTATAAATGTGAGTGCTAAAATACGTTGTTAAAAGAAAGTAAATGTGTCTCAGGAAAACGTGTAGAAAAACTCACCAATCTAGAACAGGGTCAAGACCATTCCTTAACATTTCCTCTGCTGTGCTGTCCACACTGCTGGCCACACTGCACTGGTCACAAACATAAAGATCTTCATCATTACTGGCTACACTGTCCTCCACGCCATTCTCAGTACTTTTCTTTGGATCCATCGGAGAGTTCTAAAGAGCAATCGATGCGAATGTATCCTGCTGAATGTAAGGTGAGTAAACAGTGAATTAGTGGCCTCTGCATGTTTTAGGGAGTACAGACAAACCACATGCCACTGTAATCTCAAATTCAGATATTATTTTTATTCCAATTTCCTATATAATGCCATACCGTTTAGCAGGCAAATCAAGCAAGTCGATGTTTATGCGCCCGCCTGAGTGGCGTCGTTGACTACAGATAAGAATTTAAACTCAGTCAGTGTCTTTAAACGAACAAGACGGGCGCTTATAGTAAAGTTACTTAAACTTGAAGCCTGGTGGGTAAGCTGACAGCACCGCAAATAATATATAACAGTTTCGAAGATTAGCCGTAAAACTTAAACAACTCACATGCTAAGGATGTAAGCAACAATCACATACAAACTGTGTGTTCACTTGCTCTCCGCGCGGGAGTCACAGGAAGTGACGTATTTTTTAAATCATTATTTGAAATAACAGTAGGGGAGACTCTGGTAACCTTTTTACTTATGAGCAATTTATGACTTACCACAATTTCCCGATTCCTCCAAAAGAGTTTAATACAGTGGTTAAAGCAATCTCACCTGGGTTAATTCATCCTGTTAAAAGCCACTCCCTATATAATCAAAGAAGAACAGTCACAATACAATCTACTTTGTTCTTGGATGGAATTGATTTTTTAGACAAGAAATGTACCAATAGACATGTACACCAAATCTTTCAATTCAAGAAAAAAAATTCTCCAAGAGGAAAGTTCTATTGGAGATCTTTGGTAGAAGATATAGACTGGAGAAGGGCCTGGCTTTTACCTGGAAAATACTGTATTTCCATTAAAGCTAAAGAAATACATTTCAAAATTTGACATAAAATATATCCTGTAAACTATCTGGACATTGACAGTTCATGTGCTTTTTTGTAAGCAATCAGAAGAGACATTTGCACATTCGTTTTATGATTGCCCAATATCCAAGCAATTTTGGTCTGACCTTGGCTCCTATATATTCGATTCGGCCAATGTTACTTATTCTTTCAGTCTAAAAGACATTATTTGTTATTATATTGATGATAAAAATAGACCCCTAGAGTATATTGTTAACGTCTTTATTTTATATGGCAAATTCTTTATTCATAAACAAAAGTTTGCAAATAATATTCCATCCTATCCCCATTTTAAAACTGAATTAATATCACTTCTTAAATCTCTTAGTTATATAAATAACAAAAAATCCCAAAGATTTATAAAATATTATGAAGAAATGTTTAAAGAAAATACATGTATTTATGCCAATCCAAGATCCATTTGGTACTTTATCCCCAACCAAATATTTGGAAAAATTGGTAGCCTTTCCTTTATTTTAAACTGCAACTATTTACCTTCTAAGCTACCTATTACCTTGTCCAAATTTCATCAGCAATGTCTCCTTGCTTGGAAACTGTGTTATGTTCATAGTTTTTCACCTCATAAAACACTGTTATGGAATAACAGTGATATCACTGTCAGAAATAAATCTTTATTTTTCCCCAGGTGGTTCCAAAATAATATTAACGGTATCCTCTCCTTATTTGATGACTCTGGTAACCTTTTTACTTATGAGCAATTTATGACTTACCACAATTTCCCGATTCCTCCAAAAGAGTTTAATACAGTGGTTAAAGCAATCTCACCTGGGTTAATTCATCTTGTTAAAAGCCACTCCCTATATAATCAAAGAAGAACAGTCACAATACAATCTACTTTGTTCTTGGATGGAATTGATTTTTTAGACAAGAAATGTACCAATAGACATGTACGCCAAATCTTTCAATTCAAGAAAAAAATTTCTCCAAGAGGAAAGTTCTATTGGAGATCTTTGGTAGAAGATATAGACTGGAGAAGGGCCTGGCTTTTACCTGGAAAATACTGTATTTCCATTAAAGCTAAAGAAATACATTTCAAAATTTGACATAAAATATATCCTGTAAACTATCTGGACATTGACAGTTCATGTGCTTTTTTGTAAGCAATCAGAAGAGACATTTGCACATTCGTTTTATGATTGCCCAATATCCAAGCAATTTTGGTGACCTTGGCTCCTATATATTCGATTCGGCCAATGTTACTTATTCTTTCAGTCTAAAAGACATTATTTTTTATTATACTGATGATAAAAATAGACCCCTAGAGTATATTGTTAACTTCTTTATTTTATATGGCAAATTCTTTATTCATAAACAAAAGTTTGCAAATAATATTCCATCCTATCCCCATTTTAAAACTGAATTAATATCACTTCTTAAATCTCTTAGTTATATAAATAACAAAAAATCCCAAAGATTTATAAAATATTATGAAGAAATGTTTAAAGAAAATACATGTATTTAAAAGCTGCCCCTGTATATTAATGTTTGTATGTTATTGTTTCAATAGTGGTAATGTATGCATTCTTGTGTCTCCTTGTCTTGTCATCTTTTTTTTGTATAATGGTCGTGTCTGCATTCTTGTGTCTCCTTGTCTTGTCATCTTTTTTTTGTATAATATTTTAGTTTTCTCTCTCTTTGTTTTATTATATGTATTTGTATGTAATTCCTTGACAATGTTCTTATGTTATTGAGCATTAATAAAAAATAAAAATAAAAAATAACAGTAGGGGAATACAAAGTCTTACAAAAATATGAGTCTATAAAACAATACAACCCAAAAATTGAACATTTTTCAAAGATGAACTAAATATCTAATACATCAAGTATCCTCTTTAATAGTTGAGATGTCTTAACAGCTTTACGATGGTTCTGTATTGAAGTTAGAGAATCATAGAAAACCTTTAAATCAATGGAAAATCGTTTACCATTTGGTACAGTTAATATACATTTTGCTTGGTGTATGTGATATTTCCCCAATAAAATAATTTTAATTATATTGTCCATTTCCAATAGACCGGTATCACAATCCAAAAACAAGACCATTATATCAGTTATAGTGACAAACTTGTAAAACACTTCAAAAAGAAACTTGGGACCAAAATAGTTTTGGTATAATTACAACTGAAAAATAAATGAAAAATGGTTTCTGACTCTTCTTTACAAAACCAGCATAAGGGCCAGAACCCTTCTTTAAACTTAATTTATCAAGAACCCTTGAATAAACATATTTATTCATATCTGACCACGGATTCTGATATAAAAGTGAGGGATAATCCTGTTTCCATTTCACCATTGCCTTAGGAAGAATACTTTTTTTCTTTGGTTAAAATTTTCCTAATATAAAAGTTATTGATTTTTTTTTATCCCTGATAGAAATGCCCCCAACAGTAAGATCTGGAAGAGAGCCAGTAACCGGCTTATACATTTTTTCATTTTTAATAAGGTGAAGTAGGAAATACAATGAATTAGTTTGATATATTCACTGGAAGATACATTTAATCCACAATTATTAATAAATTCAGTGCAATTATATAGATCACCTGAGTGATTTAATAAATCTGTAACAAAAATTAAACCTTTGTTAAACCAATCACTCCAAAAAATAGACTTGTTTTTGAATAATATATATTGATTGTTCCATATTGATAGATAAATTATGTTACTTAAATTTACTTTGGAAGATATACTTGGAACAGCACTAAGGAAATAGTTAATTTCATATCTGAAAGAGACAGGTCTACAAGAACGAATATGAAGATCATAGAATAGTATTTTTTTTAATTTTCTTTCTCCTGTTGTCTTTCTCAGCCAGACTTTTGTTCCACACTCCAGCCCAGAAGGTGGCGGCACCTATTAGCTGGTTTGCCAACTGCCAAAAACGCTTAAGAAGAAGAAGAAATACAGCCCTTCACTAATTACATCACTTCCTAAACTTTGGATGCGTGGAAATTACATAAAACGCACAATTTCATTCCATTCAAAACCATTTATTCCACTTTACAATGTAAATTACATTTAATTGACATATTCTGATAATTTTTTGAATGAATGCACCATGAATGAACAGTGGGGGGTGGGGGGGAACAAAACAAAACACACTGTTACATATACTGAAGCCATAAATCAAAAGCCTCTCATGTCGGTCCCTCTTGGGCTGAAATCACATCGTCATAAGTCTTGCACGCGACTGGTGTTTTCTGGCAGCAGAGCCTGCACTTCCGCCTGCCACTGCTGTTCACTGTTATGTGCTTTGCCTTGTGGAATATAGCAGGAACTGCCGAGGAGGACCCAGAAGAAGAGGGAGCTGAGGGAACCGGTGCTTAGACCCGAGGACACATTTCTGTAAGCTCTAAAATAAGCGCCTCCAGGAATGCCTTTCTGGTCAAAGGCTTCTTGTTCTTTCCCTTGGCCATTAGCTCCTGCATGATGAATGCGTTCTCTACAATGATGTCCAAAAAGTGGTAAAACACACATTGATACCACTTTCCCGGTTTAAGCAGAGCTCGGTAATGTCCAGTAATGCGATCTGACGAATCAACTACTTCCATGTTCCTGTGTGGCATAAAAAGCATATTTCAAACTCTAAAAAGATCAAGGCATTTAATGCATTTAAGGCACAGGCACAATAAAGTGAAACAAGGAACATCAAATAAATTCTACTAACCTGTTGTAGTCCAGCACCACAGCTGGAATGGGAACCTCCTTCAGGGTCCGAAGTGCATCGTCCTTCACCTTTCTCGGCACAGTATCACCTTCATAGGCTTTATGGAAGGTGGAGCACATCTGCACTTCCTGGGAGTCTTTCCACTCAACAAACAGAAGACTGCCATCCCTGATCCAGTGCATGGTGCCGCGTGAAGCGTTCTTTGACAATCTGTTCATGACTGTTTTTGGGAAACCTGTCCTGTTTGCCCAAATGGGGCCACAAGCCCAGATCTTTTTATACAAGAGGTCCCTGAAGAGTGCAGGGCTGGTGTAAAATTTGTCCACAAACAATTTGTACCCAGAGCCCAACATATTTTCATCCACCAATGCCATAACGGACTCATAGCTCAGGCCCACATTCTGTGACGCACATGACTTCCCCTCGTAAATAAAGAAGTCCCACGTATAGCCACAGATGCAGTCTGTCAGTGCAAAGAGTTTGTACCCCATATTTGGGGATTTGTTTTTCACGCAGCGCTTCAGTACAGTTCTATCCTGCGAGGTGACCATTCTTTCAACGATGGTGATGTTCTGAAAAGGATGAAAAAAGGTCTTGCAGGCCTCCCTAATGACTTGATACAGAGGCTGAATTTTACCTAACCGTTCATAGGCTGCTGTTCCCTTCCTAAAGCTGTTCTTCTCATCCTCCTTGCTATCACTTAGATGAAGGGCTTTGGAGATTGACAGAAATTTCTTGTAAGACATGATTTTTGCTGGAAAGGACAGACTGAAGTGCTCAGACACACTCCAATAGTCTGTCAATGAAGAGCACCTGAACATACCCATGTAAATTACCAGTGCTATGTACGACTTCAAGTCTTTATGACAAATGTAGTCCCACACTTTGCCCTTTCTCCCTTGGCACTTTGCTCCATAGTCATTAGTGTGGACTACAATGGTCTGCCACATTTTTTTTGGAAACAGCAGTTGAAAAAATTGCAGAGGACTAGTGCACCTATTTGGTAAAATCTGTGGCCCAGGTTCTTGGACAGGTGTGAAGTCTAGATGGGGTGGCTTAATATCTGCATCATCTGAGCTATGCCACTTTTCATTTGAAATTCCAGATGAACCATCGTTTTCACTTTCCCTGCCATTTCTTCCAGTAGTAGAAGACAGACGTGATCTCTTTCTCTGCTGTGAGCTGGGCTCTGAATCGCAGTCCTCCTCTGGTGAGTATATGTCATGTGAAGGCCTATGGCATGGCACAAGAAGTAAAAAACAGAATTAGCAATTAATACTTAAATACTCCACAATCTAAATGAACAGGCTGGCAATAAAATGACCACTCAAAGCATACTCTGAATCGTAGTCCTCCTCTGGTGAGTAAATGTCATGTGAAGGCCTATGGCATGGCACAAGAAGTAATAAACAGAATTAGCAAATAATACTTAAATACTCCACAATCTAAATGAACAGGCTGGCAATAAAATGACCACTCAAAGCATATTTGCATTGTTATTTAGTACTAAACAAAAAATAAACTTACCCATCTAGAACAGGGTCAAGACCATCAATAAACATCTCCTCTGCTGTGCTGTCCACACTGCTGGCCACACTGTCCAGGTCACAAATATCAAGATCTTCGTCACAACTGGCTGTAACATCTTCCATGACATTTGTAGTAATTTTCTTGGGACCCGCAGTAGAATGCAGAAGATCAAATGTTGCAGACGTTTGCTGTTGCATTTTAGATGGGTAAACAAAGAGTTAGTGATTTCTTTCTTTCTTTCTGGAAGCCAAATTATACAACATAAACCAAAATTCAGTTTTGTTTTATTCATTTATTCACAACCCAACAGTTTTTCTTAAAGTGCCCCTATTATGCTATTTTAATGTTTCCTAATTTTGTTTTGAAGGTCTCCTACAATAGGGTTTCATGCTTCCAAAAAAAAACAAAAAAAACTTACATTTTTAAAAATGTCATTATATACATTGCAGCATCACTTCTTTTCATCACTGTGCCTGAAACCATTTGTTCAAGGATCGGATCTCTCTAAACCTCTCCTTTCCAAATAGCCTAGTCTGCTATGATTGGTCAGATAGCCCAGTCTGTTGTGGTTGGTCTGGCACTTACAGCGTGTGTCGCAAACAAAGTAAAGCACATTGCAGCAGTGGGTTTCCCACGACTCACACCCTCACATGACCCTGGACACTTGGAATCCTAAGGCAGAGGAAATAAACCTTGCCACTTAACAATACCACCACAACAAAATTCAGTAAAGATGAGTTTATTAATTTGCATACTTTTAAACTGTGCCATGTTTTGAGGGGTCTTGCAACAGTGCCACCTTCCCCAGCGAGCCCACTTTTTCCAGAATTGCCCTAAAAAAAAATTACACAATTTTGAAATATGTTAACACAGAGATGCAAATGCAGTAAGGTTAGAAAATATAATGACATTGCAGGGCAGAGTCACAAAATCCCCAAATATCATATTTGGATCCCAAAATGAATTTTTAATTGGTTAAAACATGATCAGACAAAGCTTGCAAATCCTGCACAAAGCACTTTAAAAAAATGTGGTGCCACATTCAACAATAAACAACTTCAATGCAACATTTGCTGGAAAAATGGAGAAATAACTTAACAAAATGATCATGAAGCATGTGGCATTTCAAAGAATATTGTATATGCATTTATTTGGGATTTTCTTTCACTACCTCAAATGCAGCTTTGCTTTTCATTTCAAGTATTTGGTCAATTTTGAGTGGATGCGTTAACGGGGCCATGCACTGAGAAAACAAAATTCTCTTGATATTCTGACATATAAAATGTCATTGTACCATAAAAACATCCTGTAAGTTTCAGAACTCAAAACTTTCTCGTTAGTCTAAAAACAGCTTATATTGAAGCCAATCTGCCAAAATGACAGGTTGTGGAATGTGCCACTTTATGACGTAATAGTGTGGCTAAACCCCGCCTCCGCAGAAGATGATCAACGCCTGCTTCTACATCATTGCCTGTTTATCCCCGCCCACCGATTTGCATGGGTAGTATAAATAACGAGAGAGGCAAATGCAGGTCTATACAGAAATCAAACGATAAAGATGGCTCCAAAGACAACAAGACACTGTGAAGTGCCAAGTTGTGGAAAAACAGTCTTTGCATTGCCTTCCTTCTGATCCCAGCATTAGGAAAGAGTGGATCATCATCAGACTTTAGCATCAATTCTCATTCATTTGTTGCATTCAGATTGGATGCGTAATGTAGCGGCACTACTACACCAGCAGCAGTACGGTAGCTGTCGAACGGGCCCAGCAGTGTATGTATGTTTCTAAGCCATCTTCTGAATCAAGTGCGTATCATCATTGATCATTATTCCGATAAAAAACATTTTTTTTTGCGCTCAGACTCTGATTTCGGCAATACAACACAATTTAAGACAGAATTTTCACAGCCAAGCAATCCTCGCTGCAGGCCTGGTTTTAAGTGTTAGAGGGTGATAAGCATTCTCACTTGAAGCTGTAATAATATCATATTGGCGAAACAGATTTGGCAAACGAGCAGTGCCAGTAAGCATTTGTGTTTGCGCTCCAGAGAGCGTCAACATTTTCTATTTCCAATGTGTTTTTACAGGGTTGTGTAATGTAGCCAATCAGACATATCTGTTGATTTCATGAACACAATGGCCAATCAGAGGCATAAGTTAGAATCCACTCACCGCTCAAAACGCTGGAGTTTTAGTACAGTGCTGAGTTCTGTGCACTCGCGAATCCTTTTATTATAACAGTGTAAACACAATGTAAATAAAGGATTCATCGTGTGTAGACAATAATTGATTTTAACAGAACTTTGTAAGAACGCGATGATTAGTGACAGCTTGTTAGTAATTATAACGGGAGCGATCTTTGCACCATAGTAGTGGACAGGATAAAAATATATGTCAAAATAGATTTGCATTAAGGTTAGAGCACCCTCATTATTTTCCGAAGAACCCCCAGTGATGTGATTTCGGAACCGGACCTGCCTCGCTGTCATAATACAAACAGCATGTCTATTACAGAGAGGGGCGATTTTTAACTTCTAATAATTCAACTTCTCGATTATTGTATGTAATTTGTGTGCTTAACTTAATTCATGAGAGTGGCATATTTAATCTAAATGTGTAAATATAAAGCATTTACTTCATCGCTATCACAGTAAAAGAATGTGTGCATTCCAGAGTGATGCGGCGCTGCATACATAATTACACCGTTTTGTGTTTATAAATTCTGATGTGTGTGTGACAAGGTTTATACATCAGGCCTATCTGACGGGTGCAAATGTATTTTGTGTTACATGAATTACATTTTGAAGAACGACTGAAGACGGATTGGAGAAGCTTTTACGTCACGTTACAAGCCTTCTGCATGCTATATATATATATATATATAATGATTTTATCGTTTAATTTGAATGTAATGTTTTACCACAATTTTATTTTTAAATCGAGGAGCTGCGGTTTTGAACAAAATATTAGCAAACGTTACAATTAGATATGTTGACGTTGATAACTGTTAAGGGGGGAAAAAATTATCCAACCATATGACGGTGTACCTGATTAACCACTCACAACAAATCTGAATTGCCTTGACTGAGTTGACCCCTAAAACTGAAAGTCTACATTTCAGCTAAGACATATTTAGCATTTTCTTATTTTATATTACTTTTGAATATGCAGGATACATTTAAGTTGATACAATATTTGCCTGCTGCTGATAGCCACAGACTTTCATAATATTTTTTTTTCCCCATTCTATGGAAGTCAATGGCTACCAGCAACTGTTTGGTTGCCAACATTCTTCAAAATATCTTATTTTGTGTTCACCAGAAGAAAGAAACTCTTACAGGTTTATAACAAATTGAGGGTGAGATAATGTCAATTTTAATTTTTGGGCGAACTACCCATTTAACAAATACATTTGTTTAACATCTTCATGTGATGGCGTGCAGTCAGCAAGCAATCGCGATGCGGTGCAGAGCGAAATAATTGAAGGAGCTCTTAGAAGTTGCGCCGACATGACCCATTCGATCTGCACATTCTTGAGCAAATTAGCAGAGGACAGTGGTCGCAACTTTACATCTTATTACAATACAGATAACGTTAGTCATCCACTATACTAACGATAAAAGCTCGGTGAAAGGAAGCTTTGTAATACATGTATGGGGCAGACCAGGCACACAGCTGAAGAATAGGAAACACTTTCCAAACAATAACGGGACATTCGTTTCTAAACCAATCGTGCTCCACACACGATGTTAGATAATAGTGGGTCCACAGCTGATGTGGGTGTACATAGCACACAGCACAAAGCTACGCATTTTGAACATTCGGTAGAAAACATAAATAATCATACTTACAAGTTGTGATGCTGAAGCGCGGGAAGGTCCGAATAAAGTGGGCACTGCCCCATCTTTAATAAATAAGCGTTTTGCAAATCCCGCGTTGACCTCACCAAGATTTAAGAAGCAGCCATCAGTAAAATGACGAGAGCACAACAAAAGGTTATTGGAGATATACTGATGTGGTGTCACTGTAAAAATGAACTTTAACCACTGACTCTTCACTTCCTCGTGCTTTGGGAGTAAATGCAAAGAGGATTTGCTTTCGCAGCGCAGAAAACAGCGCCTTCTAGACATGATAACAACACGAACGAACCAAACTCTTCCGGGCCTCAGCTACAACTACAGCGTTTGAGGGCGGGTCAAAGCACACGTTGCTCGCGGACAGCCAATGAAAACCATAGGCGGGCATGATGCAAATTTGATAGCCATAAGCAGGCTTGTGAAGAGCTTTTCTGCAGGAAGTGAGGCAGGGATTACTGACGGCTCGTTTCACGCAGTTCAGAACCGCTTCTTTCTTTTGGGAGACAATATATTGGAAACGATACGCCCATTGTTCCGTGTTTTGAACGCTCCATATATAAACATCAATTATTTATCATACTTACAGGTTGTGATTCAGTGGAGCCAGATGGTCCGAATAAACTGGGTACTGAGCCATCTTTCAAGAACAAGCGTTTTGTGAATCTCGCGTTGAACTCCCCGAGATTAGAGAAGCAGTCTTCAGTAAAATGACGGGAACACAAAACAAGATTGGGGTTGTACTGCTGTGGTACAGTGGAGAAAACGAATATTAACCACTGATTCTTTGCAGCCTCGTCTTTCGGAAGTGAAAATAAAACGAATTTACTTTCACAGCGTAGGACACAGCGTCTTCTCGACATGATGTTAACCACACGAACAACAAGCCAGTGTTTGAGGGCGGTCAACGCGTAACATAGGCGGGCATTATGCAAATGTGTTACGTGTAACCGTTACGGAAGTGGGATTCGAATTACTGACGACTCGTTTTAGGCTGTTGAGAGTCCATTCTTTTGGGAAACAATAACTTTATTTATCACAGAGGTGTCAAACCCAATTCCCAGAGGGCTGGTGTAGAGTAGATTCTGTTCCCTTCGGAATGTCTGTTTCCCTTTACACAACCATACTAATTACAATTCTTGCATAGTTGCCGAGTTACCATACATATGATCAGAACTAGCGTGCGCAAGAAGCACAACTGGATGTATGGCAAGTCAAATGGTTTAAAATACCATCTTTAATCAGAAAATAGTTTTAAACTTGAAATTTAATTCTGCTTATTTTTTCCAATCAAATTTATTACCGATTTCAATGTGATGCTTAAAGGGATAGTTCACCCAAAAATGAAAATTATGTCATTAATTACTCACCCTCATGTCGT